TTTATCTATATATTAATACGTGAAGCAAAAACTTCGTATCCCCTTTTTACGTAAATTGCGCGGACGGAGGAGTATGAAATTTTCCACATTTATAGAGAAGAAGTGCACAATGCTAATTTTTTTTTTAAATAATGCATATAAGATACATTAAGTCAATAAAGAAAAACTTACACACACTACATACCATGTATTTGACGCACACACGCATGCATACTATTTATTGTCAAACTTTTGTTCTTGACGTCTGTTGTCAAATTGAGAATAGATTAAATATTGTTTGTCTTTGTTAATATTTTTTTATAGTGTAGTCTTGGCGAAATTTGTGATTGTAGAAGTATAAAATACAATCATAATAGTGTACAAACTTACAATTCCATTTAATTATAGTCGAATTTCGACTACTGCGGGACCTCTAGTAATGTAAAAGAGGCAATACAGGTTGAACGACTGTGGTAAAATGTCGAACGAATCTTTTGATGTATAAACACTCAATGTTAGTTGCGTTATCCACTAAATAAAAAAAATAAAAAAAAAATTAGAATGTCTGAAGACTCAAAACAGATGTTTAGATAACTCGTCGTTTTTTTTTTTCGCGGTGACGTAACGTAAATTCAATTTTAACATCGCCACTTGGCATTAGAGAGGTCTGAAGACCTTCACCGGACCATAGTCAATTATTCGTTTTTTTTTTTTTTTTTTTTTTAACTCGAATTGCGTAATGTCTTATGGGTATTCGTTTATAATAAAAACTAGCGACCCGCCCTCGCTTCGCTTCGGAAACATTAAAACACACATGAAACCAAAAAAATAAAATATTTTTTTTTTTTTAAAATGTAGCTTATGTTCATCAGGGACAATGTCGGCTTCTAATGGAAAATGAATTTTTCAAATCGGTCCAGTAGTTTCGGAGCCTATTCGAAACAAACAAACAAACAAATCTTTCCTCTTTATAATATTAGTATAGATGAAGTAGGGGCAGATACGAAAACTTTTTTTTTATTTTCACCTTTCACTACATCTACGTACATAAATCTACAAAGGGCCTTGAGTTTGCGGAGTTTTGTACCTCGTATTCGACAAGTGCTCTGAGCCATTAATAGGGATTTTCCTATCATATAAGCAGAATTCTTTAATGTAAATTATATTCTTAAAACGCCTTGGCTTTGAAACGTATTTCAACCGACGTGTTTTTTCCTGAGCGCCTTGACACGTCCTTGGCTCATAATAAGGCATAGCCTTTAACTGCACTGCACCTTTTCTGATCCTGGTTGGTCTTAAGTGTAGTTACAACGGCTGCCCCGCCCTTCAAACCGAAACGCATTACTGCTTCACGGCAGAAATAGGCCGAGTGGTGGTACCGGTACCCGTGCGGACTCACAAGAGGTCCTACCACCGGTAATAACGCAAATTATAATTTTGCGGGTTTGATTTTTATTACACGATGTTATTCCTTCACCGTGGACGTCGATCGTGATTGTTGAGTACGTATTTCGTACGTATTGAGTACGTAATGCTAATCTTCGCAGTATTGTTCTAATTTTGAGACGCCCCTCGTGCTAGCTCGCATGCTTAATTTTAATCCTTTTACAATCGAATCGCTCGCATACAACTACACCGGGCGTTTTATCCTATAGGTCGCCACGATTTCGAATTGATTCAATTCGTGAGAGACGCTTGCGACGAAGGGCTCGACGAGTAAATTAACCCTCAGACACAGCCCACTGAGTTTCTCGCCGGATCTTCTCAGTGGGTCGCGTTTCCGATCCGGTGGTAGATTCTGCGAAGCACGGCTCTTGCTAGGGTTCGTGTTAGCAACGTCATCAGGTTTGAGCCCCGTGAGCTCACCTACTTGTTAAGGTTACGCTGATATAGCCTCTCAAGGCTATCAGCTTAGGCAGGAAAAAAAAAACCTTAGAGATGCGTTATCCTCAATCATTGCACTCGTAGTTAATGTGGTAGCGTTCTCCGATTTTGACTACTTGATAATTGGAGACAGCAAAAACGCTTACCACTTGCTCAGCACCGGTAGGTACCACCTTTTTTGTTTTTTTTTTTATTGCCCATGTAGGCAGACGAGCATACGGCCTACCTGATGGTGAGTATATGGCGAATCTAATGGTGAGTGGTTACCGTCGCCCATGGACTTCAGCGATGCCAGGGGCAGAGCCAAGCCGCCGCCTACCGTTTAATACTCTCCACAAGCCTCGTTTGAAAAAGGACATGTCATAGCGCTCGGGAACACACTTTGTATATTTCTGTCGTGAAGCGGTAATGCACTTCGGTTTGAAGGGTGGGGCAGCCGTTGTAACTATATCGAGACCTTAGAACTCATATCTCAGGTTGACGGCATATACGTTGTAGATGTCTATGAGCCACCACTTAACACCAAGTGGGCTGTGAACTCGTCCACATATATTTGCAATCAAAAAAAAATTACCGTGTTAACTCGTTAAAAAAACTAGAGTTTAGTTTATTTAGATTGTACTCTATAGTAGTTAACTTAAAAGTGCCTTATACCGCGTAATTGGTACTTACTCTCCCCTCGTGAACCACTAATGCTAAAATGAGATTCTCGTTCAGACCTCACCGCAAACATTAACCTTTAGTTGTGGTAACGGTACTTTTGAGCCTTATAATTACTATGATTTCTTACACGACAATTATATAGAAGATAACTTTTTTTTAAATATTATTTTAGTTTGAAATATCTTTCTACAGTTTGACGTACTGAATTTATAATGACGTTCATAATGTCAGTTTCGATCTATCATACTATTTAAATGTGTAATCTTAATTTTATTCATATAATGTGTTTTAGCTGTAACATTTTTTTGTATTGATGATGATATAATCGTAATAATAAATTCATTTTTACATTGGTAATAATTAAATAATTATGATAAGATTTTTTTTTGTGTTCTCAACGCTATTTAAGTTTGTAATTTAAAAAAAGAATCACCATTATTTATTTTTACAATTTGGCGTTTGTTGAGTGTTTAATTTTTGACATATAATTTTAATTATTTATGTATGCTTTATTTATGTATAAGCAATTTTGGCGATTCGGTTATTTCATTTTCTTCCCGTCGCGTTGGCTGCAATAATTTAATTTAATAAATAAGTGGTCCCTCTGTAGTCGAAATTCGACTATAATTTATTGAAATTATAAGTTTGAACATTATTAAAGTCTTAATTGTCTATATGGAGTACTAGGCTGCACTAAAAGTATCGGGAATGGAATATTTCCACTTTTCCTGTCATATTAAAATCGGCTCGCGTTACTTGGTGCGTCAGAACTCTCGAAAGATTCCACGCGGGATCCTCAAATGCTGTATACAACATTGTATCAGGTGACGAATCCTGGATATATGCGTACGAACCCGAAACAAAAAACCAGTCACGAGTTTGGGTGTTCGAAAATGAGTTAAAGCCAACAAAAGTTGTTCGTTCACGGAGTGTTGCAAAAAAATGGTGGCCACGTTTGTCTCCAAAACCGGCCATGCTACGACTATTCCTCTTGAGGGACAAAGAACGGTTAATGCAGAATGGTATGCTAGCATTTGTTTGCCACAGGTCGTTTCTGAACTCCGTAAAGAGAACTGCAACCGCCGCATCATCCTCCATCACGACAATGCGAGTTCTCACACCGCGCATAGAAAAAAAGAGTTTTTAGAGCAAGAAAACATAGAATTATTAGACCATCCGCCGTACTGCCCCGACCTAAGCCCTAATGATTTCTATACTTTCCCTAAAATAAAGAATAAATTGCGTGGACAGAGATTTTCATCACCTGAAGAAGCTGTGGACGCCTACAAAACGGCCATTTTGGAGACCCCAACTTCCGAATGGAATGGTTGCTTCAATGATTGGTTCCATCGTATCGAAAAATGTGTCAAATTTCGCGGAGAATACTTCGAAAAGCAATAAATACATTTTGAAATAGTAATGTTGTGTCACTTCGTTAATTCCCGAAATTTTCAGTGCCGCCCTCGTATGATAGTCTTTGACATCTATTGTCAAAGACTATCATAACAGATATCGCCAAGACTACACTATAGATAAATATTAATAACGATAAACAATCAATTTGACCACAGCAAAGTCTTTACAGCAAATGCAATGACAAAAGTTGGACAGTAAATAAAGGGTATATGTATATGTGTATGTGTATGTGTGTGTCAAATACATGGTAGTGTGTGTAATGTTTTTTTTATCGTATTAATGTATTATTAATGCATAATATTAAAAAAAAATTAAGATTCTGCACTTCTTCTCTATATTCTATATAGGTGTGGGAAATTTCATACTCCTCCGTCCGCGCATTTGCGTAAAAAGGGGTACAAAGTTTTTGCTTCACGTATTAATATATTATTATGTATGTATATAATATAATATATATAATAGGAACATGAATGTTGAACTGCCCAGTCGTCTGTCTGATGAATCGACCGGTTGATTTCTGTTTCATCATTGTTTATAGCAAGATGTGTAAGCCGGTACGTACTATAAATGTCTCTTCTGTCGAAGGCAGAGACGGTTCGCCCGACGGTGAGTGACGACCGTCAATAAAATCAGCGGTAAAAAACATTTATTGAGATTTGAAAATATAACTAGTTTAATGAACTAAGTAAAACTTTTATTCATAATAGTTTATTTTTTGTATTCCTCCGTGCGTCGTGTTCCTCAGTGCTGAGGATCGTGACCTTTAGGGAATACATACGTATAGGTTTTCTTGGGAAAATTGCTAGTGGTGGGTTCCCGCGTCCTTCCACATTTTTTGTATTATCATAAGGTTAATCCATATTATCGTATAATAATGACGCATGAGATCGATAAAAGGTCATATCTCAGTGTTACATAAACAAATAATGTTTGGGGAATAAGCGATTTAAATTTAAATACAAATTTTATTAGCTTTTATAATCTGGGCCACCTCATTCAATCCTCATTCATAAAAAAAAGAATCTCCTGCAATCACTTACGGTTCACTTTCGTTCCAGGGTCGTATCAGCCCAGCAACGAGCTTATGCTCCGCTTCTACAGCTATTACAAGCAGGCCACGGAGGGACCCTGCGATAAACCGAAACCTGGCTTCTGGGACGTGGTAAACAGGTCGGTCAGCCCGTAGATTTTAAATTACTGGTGGTAGGACCTCTTGAGAGTCCGCGCTGGTAGGTACCACTACCCTGCCCATTTCTGCCGTGAAGCAGTAATGCGTTTCGGTTTGAAGGGCGGGGCAGCCGTTGTAACTATACTGAGACCTTAGAACTTATATCTCAAGGTGGGTGGCGCATTTACGTTGTAGATGTCTATGGGCTCCAGTAACCACTTAACAAAAGGTAGGCTGTGAGCTCGTCCGCCCATTTAAGCAATAAAAAAAAGAAAGAAAGAGAAAGACGAAAGAGCTTTAAAAACAGCCTCATAAACTAGCACACTTCACTTCAAACCAGTACACCTCACTCTGTTTAAAGCTGCTATGTTCATATCATTTCCACTTGCCACACTAGCGCCATTTCGGTGAGTCTTCCAACCAAAAAAATACGTGTGCAATTCACACGTGGTAGAAGTGAAACGTTCAAAAATTAAAATACAATTATCTTAAATGTCTAAGTATATGTAAAATTTTGTCATTAGTAAATAATTGTAAATAATCTTTTATAGTATGAGCTAGCGCCCTCTGTGAACTGATATTTTAACTTCACGTATAATTCTAAATTGTAATTCATTACAAGAGGTTTCATTCACATGTTAGTATTAAAAAATCTCACAGATGGCGCTGTATTAAAAAAACACTACACTGAGAACGTCTGATGTGTTCTATCTCATTCTCTCGCCGGCTGAATCCTATACATTTATGTGTTTGTGTCTCTATGGACTTATTTTTTCGTTTCATCGAGTTTGAAATCAAAACGATTCTAAAGAAGTTCCACTTCAATAACTTGCTGTTTTCTGCTCCTTACCCTCCAGATTTCGTATTTCACGAATGAACACCTAATTATTTTCAGTGGCAGTTTTTAGGGGCAAAAATTTTTGAAGCAATACCATTCAAAAATAAATTCTTTTGTATGTTCACAGAGCGAAATGGGAATCGTGGAACAAGCTCGGTAACATGACTGCAAACGAAGCGATGCAAGCGTACGTCGAGGAATTACACAAAGTAAGCTTAGAATCGTTCCGACGTGTACTCGTACGGGACCAGTGTGTTTAGTTGCGAGTTTTTTAACGTTCTCGATAGCGTAAAAGTTAACTCTTATTTGTATGCAGTTGGAGCAGCGCCCCTAGCGGCAAACGTAGGCAAACGTTCCAACTTCCAATATATATACATAATTCATATCTCAATTCGGTACACGGGGAAAAAAAGGGAAAAAAAAACCATCGAAGCAGAGGACAGGGGCCGGCCCCGGGGCGTAGCGTCCACGGGCATAAATCCGCACAATAGTCAAGCCCGCTGTATTGTGTATATGTATATATAAACTGCAGCCGTACATGTTGCGAACAGACCCCCCCCCAACCCTCCATCTCACCCTGCATCCACTTCACCCCTACCCTTCATAATTCGGTACAGTCCGGCTCTGTTTGTACAATGAAGTTTGTACAATTCGAAGTGAAACTCTTTACAGATAGTCGAAACGATGTCGTACAGTTCGGACGTCGCCTCGTTCCTGTCCGTCGACGACGACGACCAGGAGTTTCCCAACAGCGACCTGGAGCTCGTGGCGGGGGACGTGCTCGCGAGGGTCCGCTCGGCGCACAACACGCCAGCCGGTGAGAGATTACAGGGAACTCGACCTTTGTCGTGGCGTGCAACCTCTTTGACAGGACATAAGACCTATAATGACCAGACATAGACAGACACGTCATTTCGGATCCTCCCGATCCACTAACGGTGCTTTTAGGTACCTCAAGCACAGGTCATTCTCGTCATTAACCCTTAGACACAGCCCACTGAGTTTCTCGCCGGATCTTTTCAGTGGGTCGCGTTTCCGATCCGGTGGTAGATTCTGCGAAGCATAGCTCTTGCTAGGGTTCGTGTTAGTAACGTCCTCAGGTTTGAGCCCCGTGAGCTCACCTACTAGTTAAGGTTCCGCTGAAATAGGCAGGCTCTCAAGGCTATCAGCTTACGTAGGATAAAAAAAAACATAGACAGGCTAAGACAGAGACTTGACAAGAATTCGAAAAGAAACGGCACGCAGTAAATTTTTTTGACTTCTGTAAATACGGACACAAAAGAGACGACAAGGAACGAACCGACCGTTCAACTGATCCTTCCACCGTTCAACCTTGGAGAAGCTAGAACGACCAAGGGAAGATCCGAAGCTAGAACGCAGATGGCAGACGAGTATACGGCGAATCTGATGGTGAGTGGTTACCGTCGCCCATGGATGTCAGCAATGCCAAAGGCAGAGAGTAAAGCCGCTGCCAAATGCTTAATACTCTCCTCAAGCCTCGTTTGAAGAAGGACATGTCATAGCGCTCGGGAAACAACGTGGAGGGGAGCTCATTCCAAAGCCGGATGGTATGTGGCAGAAAAGACCTCTAGAAACGGACTGTGGATGAACGCAGTGGCTCCAGGTAGTACGGATGAACTCTACTCCGTATGTATATATGCAAACTTATCTTGAAAATTTTGTAAGCGAAATTCAGGCATTTGTCAAATATCTTGTGTTCTATGATAACTACCCGCTACAAATACAATATCGCCAGATGTCGATGAGCGACATATTAAGAAGCATTATTTGAGTATGTTACCAGGGCCATGCCCATATCTGCCGCGGAACTGTTGGGTGTCGGTTCGAAGGGCACCTCAGTTGAGGCTTGAACCTCATGCCTCAAGGTGGGCGGTGACATGTGTATCTCAGACTCGAATCTATGTAACTATACTTGAGACCTTAGAACTTGTATCTCAAGGTTGGTGGGGCGCATTTACGTTGTGGATGTCTATGGGCTCCAGTAACCACTTAACACCAGGTGGGCTGTGAGCTCGTCCACCCATCTAAGCAATAAAAAAAAACCACATTCATCTCGCCTGTGCGCTTAGTTTAAGATCCGAGGGTATAGCGAAGTTCACTGTACATTGCCGCTCAGGTTCTCGGTCGGCGAGTGGCGCGTCCTCACCGGCAGCGCAACGCACGCGACACGACTCCGAAGACGAGTACATCGACACACTCGATGTTAGTGTTGTACGTAATATAAGCTCTATCGCCTCTCACCTCAACCCATCCCTGTAACACATATGCGACCTAATGTCCATTCTCATCTCGTTAATCTTTGATGACCACTCTAAGGAATATAGTCTTTGACTGATCCGCCATATTCCGTTAAAAGGAGGTAAAAATCGACACGTGATTATATAAGAATAAAAATCATACCTATTGTCATTTGTTCCAAGAATCCAAACAATGCAATCCCTACATGCATGGCATGGACGTATACAATACTAGGTTTTTCCATTGTGCTCCTGCTGTGCTGTGCTCATGGATTTGAATCTTTAAATTTTAATCCTCATATCTGTTTATCTCGGTATTTCACTGAAAAACTCTCAGTGAGCGAGCGCATAGTAAGTAAAATGAACAGCAAAGAAAATGCCCACTATAGAGCCAGAACGATTGGAATTAAATCGATTCGTATTATCAATCGAATAAGAAACGCAACGTGCCTCGTTACAATTGTCAACTTAAAATCTCGAGTGACAGCACTGGTCGAAGCTGATCGGCCGTGGATACGTTTGCCCAAAAAACTTTTTTTTTTTTTTATGTAGTTCAGAATATCCCCTTCCGATTTAACGTCCATTTTTTCCTTTTCCCTTAACAAAAACGCTTTCTTCTTAACATATAAATATACTATAAATTCTTCAATAATAAACAATACGTTTTGGTTTTGGAATGGTTCCCTAATAGCAGTTTCATTAATGATATTTTATTTAAAACTAATTATACGGATGCCTTACAGTACTGTTCTAGTCGTCGTGAGCGACTGAATTGTTATCCGTCGACATTAGAACTACTATTCTGCTGACTACCGTCAATATAAAAGAAAAAGAAAAAACTTATAATAATACCCACCAATTCTGTGCAATATATATAACTGCTGATTACCGTCTATTTATAAAAAAACTTAATACCCACCAATTCTGTGCAATATATATAACTGCTGATTACCGTCTATTTATAAAAAAACTTAATACCCACCAATTGATTATGTGCAATATAATTCGTTTAAGGGATAAAACGAAAATCGGCTGCCGATCAAAAAATAAAATATATATTAATATTTGTGCTTCTTCTTCTTTATTTTTTTGCTCCGGCACGGTTTGTGCATTAGCCAGCGTCAAGTAATAAGATTTTTATAATTTTAATTATTACTGTGGGTAAACAGATATAATAGAATGTTCTCGTTCCTTGTATAGAGCGAGCCTGAAGCGACGACCCAGCACCGCGGCGTCCGTCTCGGCAATGGGCACGCGCACCAGATCACCTCGCAGCTGACCCGTGAGTGACTCCTCCACTCCATTTCAGAACCTGTCGCGGCCCGATTGGCTAGACGTCTGATGTTTCTGACAGTTGACAGCTCCATGACAGAAAAATGGAAAAAAAATCTTTTTTTTTTATTTGTACCTAGTCGATGGTATCCCAAGGGGCCGTTCCAGTTACGACTCATCCATTTTAGAACTCGTCACGGCCCGATTGGCTAGACGTCCGACGTCTCTGACAGTTGCCTGCTCATGTATACTATCACTGTTACGTAAACTGTCACTGTCATGTATACTGTCACTGTCATACGTTTTCAGATTTGAAGGTCCTAGAACAGTTGCCCGGGACACTGGCGCGGCTTGAGGCCGACGTGGCCGCGCTCAGGAAGGCCGTCGAGGGGGACCGAAGGATATTGGACGTGAGTTTGTTTCCCGCGCAAATCCGAACGCACTAATCCACTAACTTACTATACTGGGTGTCAGGAGACCGATTCCGAAAACCAAAATTTTGTATCTAAAAAGTTGAAAATTTTGGGAAGCGCGGTATCAGCGTAACGCTTGCGTGCGTTCGTTGACCCGAGCATCAGCTGTTTTCGATTTTGTCTTTCATTGCTGGTTTTTTTTTAAAGTAAAGTAAAGTAATGTATTTTTTTTATAAAACGATCGTTTCATTTAGCTGTACTGACATGATGGAGCGTAAATAATTCTAATAATAATCGTATAATAAAAATGAAACCCGCAAAATTATAATTTGCGTAATTACTGGTGGTAAAACCTCTTGTGAGTCCGCGCGGGTGGGTACCACCACCATGCCTATTTCTGCCGTGAAGCAGTAATGCGTTTCGGTTTGAAGGGCGGGGCAGCCGTTGTAAATATACGTGAGACCTTAGAACTTATATCTCAAGGTGGGTGGCGCATTTACGTTGTGGATGTCTATGGGCCACCACTTAACACCAGGTGGGCTGTGAGCTCGTCCACACATACTTGCAATTAAAAAAAAAATACCGCGTTAACTCGTTAAAAAAACTAGTGTTTAGTTTGTGTAAATTTATGTAGATGTAGTGAAAGGTGAAAATAAAAAAAAAAGTTTTCATATCTGCCCCTACTTCGTCCTATACTATGAACGAATACCCATAAGACATTACGTAATTCGAGTTAAAAAAAGTAACCACCAGTAACCACTTAACACCAGGTGGGCTGTGAGCTGGTCCACCCATCTTAGTAATAAAAAAAATAAAGAAAAAACATTTTAAAAATATGTTTTTTTTTAAATCAGGATCGATTTTTTTTCCGTCCCATCATCAAAGATGTGTGATGTGTGTGTGATTGTGATTAGTACTATCGTCTTTCTTCGTTTTCGGAAGCGGTCTCCTAACACCCAATACACGTCCGGTCTGCAGAATTGCACGGATAATAACCACTAGATAAACTAGACGTTTTGTTGTTATGACTACAGTACGTACTTCCAGTGCGGCAAGTCCACACTGACAAGTCCGCCCTGACCTTGTTGTGCTCTCACTTGACCGCGGATAAACTCTTAAGCATTGATGTAGCGTTCGTCTCCGAATGCATAGATGGCGTTAGTCGCGTTCCCCCTATACATAGATGGCGTTGGTTACGTTCCTATATACATAGATGGCGTTACTTAGGTTCCCCTATACATAGATGGCGTTAGTTACAGCTCAATACGACCTTCTGCCTGAACTATCCATGCACTTTTGTAGGCGATTGTACTGAACACGTCCTCATGAAATATTTCCACGGCGAATAGTATAGTGTAATTAAAAATAAGCCGGGACGGGCAGGTGCTATCGTCGCGGCAGATTATGCCGCGAAGCAGTAATGCCTTCCGGTTTTTAAGGGTGGGGCAGTCGTTGTACCATACCACATCGACTGGTTCCAATTAATCACTCAATACTAAATGCTCCGTGTACTCGTCTATACATTTTCAGTATTATTAATGTAATATTAAAAAATCTTGGCACGAAATGAATGACCTTCGCTTCTGAAATGCGTTTTAGTATGTTTTTACTAATAATAAATAATAGTTTAAAAAAACACTAACAAAATACGCTTTTATAGAAAACTCAACTAAAAAATTGAAAATAAATTTAAAAAAATTTGAATTAAAATTAATGTAAAAAAAATGATTTTATTGTAAAAAAAGCGTGGGGTGCTTGGTATCAGTAGTTATAAATATTTTATGAACAGATATGAGTAGAAGGGTTATTTTGAATAATCCCGAAAAGCACCCAACGTTTTTTTACAATAAAATCATTTTTTCTTACACTATTTTTAATTCAAATTTATTTTCTATTTTTTAGTTGAATTTCAATTTTTTCAATATATGTTTTTAAATATTGAATTGTCATCGGTCCTTAATAAGTATACCAAATTTCGAGTTAATCCGACGCTTTGAAGGGGGTCAAAGTCATGTTCCAAGATTCCGTTACATACTAACATACGTCTGAAGCTAATAAAAGCGTATTAAAAATATTAAGCTTCTATATTTGTTGGTTCGTTTTCAGCAAGTTTCAGGGGGCTGGCGTTGGCCGTGGCAAGAGCTGAGCCCCCCCACATTGGCAGTGTTATTGTTATGGCCATTGCTGCTGTACCGGCTCGCCAGACGTAACAGAAGCGCTCTGCAATGGTCAGTATTGTGTGCTTGTTAGAGATATAATCGTGATTTTTTGTACTGTAAAAATTTATGACACGTGTGTAAACTTTTTTACTGGTGGTAGAACGCCTTAAGTCTACATGAGTAGGTACCACCGCCCTGCCTATTTCTGCCGTGAAGCAGTAATGCGTTTCGGTTTGAAGGGTGGGGCAGCCGTTGTAACTATACTGAGATCTTAGAACTTATATCTCAAGGTGGGTGGACCATTTACGTTGTAGATGTCTATGGGCTCCAGTGATCACTTAACACCAGGTTTTTTTTTGTTTCCTTATAGGCAAACGAGCATACGGCCCACCTGATGGTGAGTGGTTACCGTGGCTCATGGGGGTCAGCTAAAATCGATTTTACTGGTGGTAGGACCTCTTGTGAGTCCGCACGGGTAGGTACCACCGCCCCGCCTATTTCTGCCGTGAAGCAGTAATGCGTTTCGGTTTGAAGGGTGGGGCAGCCGGTGTAACTATACTGAGATCTTAGAACTTATATCTCAAGGTGGGTGGAGCATTTACGTTGTAGATGTCTATGGGCTCCAGTGACCACTTAACACCAGGTTTTGTTAAATTGCCCTATAGGCAGACGAGCATACGGCCCACCTGATGGTGAGTGGTTACCGTGGCTCATAGAGGTCCGCAAAAAAAGATTATAAACGACTCGATCGTGTGAACTATATATATGTTTTAATGATTTTTTCCAGATCTGTGTTGAGTCCGGGTTATCGGAATAATAACGTCGTCACTATGCCGTAGTACCTTCACATACACGGATTTTAATGTGTAACAATGCTTACAGATGTCGAATGTTTGAGGAACGTTACCCACAGAAACTGGATAAAAGATTGAGAAGCAGCGACTCGCACCGCCTTGCACGTGATAAGCGTTCTGTACAATCAATAAAAATACCAAAATAATTATAGAAATTGAATATTAAAAAAAAGGTTAACACGCCGTGATTACGATTTACAATGTCACCTTGCGAATCGAAAGAAAATCGATTTTAATATAAACAATCGACTAATTCTAGTTTTCGATTAATCGATTTGAAAATTAAAAATTAATCGAATTGTCTCTGAATATATATCGACGCTTGAAAGGCAAACGTGACTAAGCGGCAATGCGTGAACTTTTCAGTAGACTAATTTAAAGTTGAAATACCTGAAAACAAAATTCTATTTTAATGAATCTAGCTGTAGGATTGAAATGATTTTAATGGACCTAGAAATATATTTTTTATTTGCGCATCGAATATGGTTATTGCCTATCATTTAGGTACAAAGCAGTTATTGTCGCTTAGTCACGTTTGCCTTTCAAGCGTCGATATGTTGTTTTGTATTAAATAATGTACGCCCTGTACTTAGAAGACATTCCTATTAGGATAGTTAATACTAATTAAAATAAAACATTTTTCATCTGACACAAACATAAGATTCAATTGTATTTATTTATTAAATATGTTATTCTTTAATTTAATTAAATCTTTAGAGTGAAATAAATTATGTCACACCCTAAAAAATACAATTCTCCGTTGACCTCATCAAAAGAAGTTTAACTGATTGAAAATTGTAATCATAGTGTTGCAAGCCTTGAAAAAAAAAACATTGAAACGGTATAGTACAAATTGTGGTTGGCAACACGAAGCTTTCAAGACTTCGGTGTTAGATTAAGCAAACACAAGTCGGCAATTCGATTTGAGTTGTTTTTTTATACAAAAAACGTAAATATATGTATGTATTATAAAACATATTGAGGGTTGAAACGTTGTTTGGTTTGAGCGACATCTTTGCAACTTTACAAGAGAGCCATTCAAAAGTTTTTTTTTTTTTATAAAATGTTATTACCTGGTAACTGAGACCTTTAGGTCAAGTCTTATTATAATTTTTAATGTTATTTTTATGAAAAATGATAATATGGAGTGAAATGAAATGAAGATGATTAAATTCGAGACATTAATCAACTGGGATGAAATGAAATGAAATGAGATGATATGGGATGAAATCTATTCTTAGTAAAATGGTGTTTATTTACTGACATTTTTTTCAGTGGACTTTTTAGGGGATCTCGAGAAGTTACATCCAGCGGCTTTGTTTCATATTCCCAGATTTGTGCACTTTCACAGTTATATTAAACAGTTAATAAACCACCTTTATTACACATTTAAACCTGAAGGAACACTAAATAGACAAAATAAAACAAATATCACAATTTCACTCCTCGCGTTCCCGCCAAAAATTCCTTTTAAAGTTTAAGATTTGGAAAAAATATCATAATAAAAATAAATGTTCAGCTATGAATAAATGGGGTAAACTTAATTGATGTTCAATTAAAAACCATCGAACTGTTGATGCAAATACCAAATAAAGCCTTTAATTACAAAGATAAATATGGCGTATTAACCGAAATGTTGCTTAACCCAAATATCCTTTTACCCTTCAATATATGAGTCGTCTATTATCAAAGGTGGCAATCTGTGCATTTGGACAAAAAATGTTATTGATATGTCAATACAGATTGATTTGAATATAATCGTCTCCTTCAAAGAATACGGTTCAAAACCTGCATTAAATAAAGGTTAATAGTTATCCTGTTATTTATCTAAGATGTCGTTCCGAAGAGTTTTGTGACTGCCAATGGAATACAAAGTCAATAATTCGTTTTTCTGATTTACCAATAATTGTCCAAAAGTCAGATTGCCGGCTTTGATAATAGTCGACTCATATTGTTACCTATTATATAAATCTTTTTAGATGTAACAATAAGATTGATGAAGACAATTATACTTGTAATTGTTTTTTTTTTATATCGACGCTTGAAAGGCAAACGTGACTAAGCGACACTGCGTGAACTTTACAGTAGACTAATTTAAAGTTGAAATACCTGAAAAAAATTCTATTTTAACGAATCTAGCTGTAGGATTGAAATGATTTTAATAGACCTAGAAATATATCTTTGTTTGGGCATCGAATATGGTTATTGCCTATCATTTAGGTACAAAGCAGTTATTGTCGCTTAGTCACGCTAGCCTTTCAAGCGTGATGTACAATAATATTACAGACAAACAGTATGTGGGTCAAAAATATTGTGATGCTTAACAGAGATGTGCGTTTTCAAAATTCAACGCTAAATCTAAAATTATCGTACTCTATCTCGCTCGCACTCGTATTAATAGCGAGAGCCACGAGCGAGACGGCACGTTTTGATGAACTTCGTCGTCTACTCAACACATTCGGTTTTGTTTGGTTACGTTTTTAAAATAATTTTAATGTGATATTTAGTTTTAAAATGATTAGAACGAAAATAAGTTTAATACACTTTTTTAAGTGTGTTTACTTTGTTCACAATCAAATGAAATGGAAATAATATATTTTAAACAATATTTTCACTTAGAATTCTTTATGAGAATCCAATCGTTACCGTAGGCTGTGGTACAGTCAACAAAAAAATGCAAAACTAAAATTTACTTATTAATTCTATTATCGTTCTCAATAATCACAGACGTATTTTTTTATGCGTATGTAGCGTTAGAGGTTGATAGAGAAAGAAATTTCAATTTCGTTTTTGTCGACTGTACCGGTTTTACATTTTTTTTTTTCATTCAAACAATCATCATAATCGCTAAGTCACGTTTCAATTCTATTGTAAAATGTTTTGAGGCCAAGGGAAAAGTTTAACAAGAAAAAGTTAAGTAGAAATGAATTTAATTTTTTTTTAAAGGTATTTTGTGACCTGGTAACTGAGACTTTTAAGTCATGTCTTATTTTAATGTATATTCATATTTTTATGAAAAACGATATTATGGAGTGAAATGAAATGAAGATGATTAATTTGAGACATTAATCAACTGGGATGAAATTAAATGAGATGATATGAGATGAAATATAATCTCAGTAAAATGGTGGTCATTTACTAAGATTTTTTCAGTGGAGTTTTTGGAGGATCCTGAGAAGCTACGTCCAGCGGCTTTGTTTCATTTTCCCACATTTGTGCACTTTCACAGATATTAAACGGTTAATAAACCACCGTTATTACACATTTAAACCTGAAGAAACACTAATAAATACTCAAAATAAAACAAATCACACAACTTGACGCCTCGCGTTCCCGCCAAAAAGTCCAAAATGAATTTAACTCTTTTATGACAGTATTTATCTGTCAATTTTGAGTTTCGTATAAATGACACAGGTTTCTTTCTTTACTCAGTACAAAATTCTTTTGAAATATATGTATCGTAAATCTAGATTTTATAATGCTGATTTGCGTTTAGGTTGAAATATTTCCTAAAAACTATTTCTGTGTTGCGCCTTGTATTGTTTTAATATGAGAACAAAAGTTGAGTTTACAAAAAAAAAAAATTTTTTTTCTTAAAAATAAGTATATTACGAATCAGCTCTAAAGTTTTCCTTGTTCAACTTAATGCATTTGTAAATAAATACCTAATGGATATAGGTGTTAAGTGGACAATTATAGATTTATTTTTTGTTTGTTTTAATTATGTAATAAAGGGGATTTTTTTTAAATAATAATAGTTTTTTATTTTTTGCTGTATGCCAAGAACCAGCCTAAAGGATAAGGTTGCACTTGTACCTCGCGTTTGCGATCGTGTGATCGAATCGACGCAGGTAAGTATCAAAATACTAACGGAATATAAAATAGATATTGTGGAGAGATATAACGACGGAGGAAAGAAAGAGAGGGTGATATTGCTCGGTAGACCGACGGTCCAAATGTTTTTTTTCTTTTTTTCCTACCTACACTGATAGATAGCCTTCAGAGGCTATTTCAGCGTAACCATAACTAATAGGTGAGCTCATGGTGCTCAAACCTGACGACGTTGTTAACACGAACCCTAGCAAGAGCCGATGAGACGATGACGGTGCTTGAGGTACCTAAAAGCACCATTAGTGGATCGGGAAGATCCGAAATGACGTGTTTGGGGCGACGGCGACTGCATTCCATTCTGTCCGCAGGATCGGGAATGGGTCCGAATATTGTTCGAATCTTGCATATATGCAAACATATCTTGAAAATGTCGTAAGCGAGATTCAGGCATCTGTCAAATATCTTGCGTTGTATTTTTTTTTTATTGCTTACGTTTGTGGACGAGCTCACAGCCCACCTGGTGTTAAGTGGTTATTGGAGCCCATACACATCTACAACGTAAATGCGTCAAACACCTTGAGATATAGTTCTAAGGTCTCAGTATAGTCACAAGGGCTGCTCCACCCTTCAAACCGAAACGCATTACCGCTTCACGGCAGAAATAGGCAGGGCGGTGGTACCTACCCGTGCGGACTCACAAGAGGTCCTACCACCAGTAAAAACTGTATGATGGCTACTCGCCACAATATCGCAAAAAAACATATCATCAACAAGGAAAATAGTTTTAAATAAAAGACGAAAACGTATATTAAAAACATTATATTATATTCCGTACGCGAAAATTACTCGTTACAATAATAATACCAACAAGCGCATAAATTGAACCGAAGAAGCATAAAAATCACAACTAGATTTTGTACAATGAATATTGCTTGTTTCTAAATCGTCACTTTTTAGTTCACACCCATTACGTTACGTTGGTAGTTTTCCAATGACAGCACAAGAGCGCATTATGCGGCATAATGCTCAACGTTGAATGTTCCAACTACAGCAACTCGAAGCACAATCGAGCACTCTCAGAAGTACTGCTCTCGCGTGATACTCGCAATCGATACCGACTCAGTGACAGAAAATTGACAAGTGTTTTTTCTTTAAGTTGGCATTGATCGAAATTTTGTTTATATTATCGTTAGTAATATTATTTAATGTTGAAAAAATTTGTAAGGCTTTCGTTTCGTCGTAGTTTCTTAGAAATAATCAATGTTAATTAAAACTGTGCTAACTTAGCGCACTCTGCTGATGCA